AAGTTCTAGCAATATTATCTTCTAAAAGCAAAAAAACAACCTCAAGACAGTGTCTTTCAAACATTTTTGCCTGCATTCCACAATAAGCAATATATTTTATATCATGATCTGATACACACAAAACCTATATAACTGGCCCTAGCTGGTTTGGCTCAGTGGATAGAGTGTTGACCTGTGGACTGAGGGTCCTGGGTTCGATTCTGGTCAAGAGCACATGCCCGGGTTGCAGCCTCAGTCCCCAGAGGGGGGGCAGCCAATCAATAATTCTTTCTTTCGTCTCTCTCCCTTTCTTTTCCTCTCTGAAACCAATATATATGTATATAGTCTATATAACTAAAAAGAAATTCAAAGAAAACATCCCCTACTACCTGTAAAGCACGCTGCTATTTTCTCTCTCTTTTTTTTAAATAGCTCATCTTTACTGATCAAATTGATTTCACACTGCTCAAAAGGGTAATAACTTACATGTGGAAAAAACACGATTTTAGGAATTCTCTTAAGTAAAAATGGGGAACTTCTAAGACTTGCTAGTAAACAGATCATCAAGGGCAAATAACACAAAAGAAAAGAAAATACCTTGTTCCAAGCACCCTTGCATACAGATTAGGTCAAGAGCTTTTTAAGTGGTTCTACCTCCTGTTTCTCACCCTTCTTCATCATGCAAGAATTAGATTTCAGAAGATTAAACTGGGAGGAGAAACCAAGATGGCGGCATAGGTAAACACCTGAAATTGTTGCCTCGCACAACCACTTCAAAACTACAACTAAAAGACAAAACAGACATCATCCAGAACCACAGGAAGGCTGGCTGAGTGGAAATTCTACAACTAGAAGGAAAGAGAAAAGCACACTGAGACTCAGAGGAGGTGCGGAAGTAAAGTGCAGAGGTACGTACGGAGGGCTGGCAACTGAGGACACAGTTGTCTTTTTCAATTGGGAGGGAGTCTCAAGCTTCCGACTGCTCTGACTCTGAACTCCGGGTGAATCTCTGGGGACCCAGACTCATACGGGGAGAAACTGGACTGTCTGGCAGTGGGCGGAACTCGAGGGCGGCTTTCTCTCAGAGGTGCTTGCAGCAGTTACCGAGGGACACTGAGACGTGTAACTGAGACCCGGGGGGCCTCTTAGGACAGGGCTGAGGATCAGCCATAGCTGTTTGCTCCGCCCTGTTGATTCCGAGACCCCGCCCCACCTAAGCTGCTAGCAGAGGCTTTTGCATATGAATAGGCTGGCCCTTTGAGATCTAAAATTGCCTAACAAACTGCAGCTGGGTCAGAGAGACCCAGAACATCCAAAAGAAGGCCCAAGGCCCCACAGCAGCTTGCATTGCTTCACAGCTGGGCCTCATCTGGGCACCTCCAAACTCCAAACAAAGAAGAGGAATCTGCAGATCTCTCCATAGCTCCTGCTGGGTAGCCTCAGGCAGAGGCTAAATTAGCACCTCCTTAGAGATCCAAGAGCCAATGTACCCAGT